CCACTACACCCTACCCTACCTTCGAATAACCGCTCGGAAGAGGTACAAGGGCTTTCTATTGTGCTGACGTCTGGGGTCCCATCCATGTCCCCTGCTGAGAAGGCGGGGCCTGAAGCCTCATCCATGACCCCTCCTGCGAAGACGGAGCCTGGGGCCTCATTGGAGCCATCACAGGTGAAGATGGAGGCTGAGGCTTCGTCCATAATCTCTCCTGCAAAGGCGGAGTCTGAGGTCTCATTGGAGCCATCCCAGTTGAAGACGAAGGCTGAGGGCTCACCGGTGGCCTCTCCCACAAAGACGGAGCCCACGGTCTTACTTGAGTCGCCCCATGCCAATTTGGAGCCTGAAGCCTGGTTCCCACCTTCCCAAATTCAACCTGGACCTACAGTTTCATTCGAGGCCCCGGAAATGATGCAACTTGATGGGAAGTGTGAAGATTCGGATGATGCAATGTCCATTTATGCCTCTTCTATCGCTGCCTCCTCCATTGGCGAATCCTCTGGGGATGAGTCCTTTGCTGTGATCAGCGCGAAGAAGAAAAGCGGCCGCCCATACCGCAGGTAGGCTCCGCCTTTGGCCACATTGATAACCAAATCCTGTCGTTGTCTTGTCTATACCACTCGTCTCTCCTTCTCAAGAACCTGCCAACGTCTTGTCTCCCTCTTCATATCCCCGTATCGTTTCCAGCAGGGATTGTAAAAGTCCATCCCTTTGCACGATTCCCTGCCATTTTGTTGCTTCGATCACAAAATCCCACAAAAAATAAAGATAAACAACAAATAAACCAAAAAAAGGTCTGTCTCCGTATCTACTCTGTCTCTCTGTTTCTCGTCCTACGCCCCTCCTACACACCCTCTCTCGTTCGATTCATACGAGATCCGTTCCCTCTTTTGAACGCCACTCCCTCACTTGTGCTGTGCACCTCTTCCGTTGTGACCTACTGCTTCTCTTGTGCCATGCATGTCCCCATCACTTCACCTGTGCCATGCACAACCCATTGCTCTTTACTCGTGCTATGCACATCACCGTCGCTCTTTACTTGCTTCAATTCATCTTGAATAGTCATTTGATATGAAACAACTTGTCTTTTAAAAAACATTGCCTCGATTTAAGTACCGATGATTACGGTCAGGACCGCCCGGAGGGCCCTACAATATATCATGTCTCAATAATGGTTGTGGCTAGCAAACTAGCCACTGTGCGGGTCAGTTCGGCTGAGGGCCGATCGAAACTTATCCCCTATCATCTCACATACTTCAGCATGAAAGCCATTCCCATCACTGTGTTCACCGGTTAGAATTCAAACAAAGAGTTCTCTGCTCGCATGTCGGCCAAATTTCTCACCTACTGGACAGGTTTTCTTGGCTCAGGCAAGACTACAACTATATTGTCCTTATTGCCCCAAGTTCGGATTTAATAACCTCCATATGTCTAAATACATTTCTCACGCATGGTAGTTGCCCAAGGATTATAAAGTGGTTCTACTCAAAAATGAATTTGGGGACGTAGAAGGTAAGTCAGTGGTTCCACTGTCCTGATTACCGTCTTCATTTCAGAAGAAGAAAGATTTCTGAAATTTCTATCGACTCATTCCAGTTGATTCTCAACTAGCTAAACAATCATCCCTTACGGCTGTATCTGAGATTTTGAATGGATGCATGTGAGTACCCCTAGTCACTTAGCGATTGAATACATAAGTTTTAAACTCTTTATGTAGGTGTTGTATTCTGGTTGGCCAAATGAAGACAGCACTGATCGAGATCCAAGGTCTGTGGTTCCTATGAGGATGAAAGAAGCACTAAAGGGGAGCTTCAGAGTCTTATTCCCCTGATCGTATAATCATAGAATCATCAGGGTATGTATTCTTCATCGAGCAGTCTCAACTCTAACAGTTCCAAAGATCCGCTTTTCCAGCCACTCTGGCCTTCCAAATTCGAGAACTGGAAAAGGAGACAGGAGGCGCCTTAAAATTAGACGCAATTGTGACTGTAATTGATGCAGAGAACTTTACCGGGTATGAGGATACTTCAACGACCGCCAAAATGCAGGCAGCGTACACGGATGTTTTGCTCATCGTAAGCCAATTCTCTCCCGGAACGACAAATCGTCTGACTGAGATAATTGACAGAATAAATGGGAAAACGTATCGGAAAGACAACTGGATATCGTAATGGATCATTTGTTCACGCTGAATGAAGATACTCCAAAGATCAAATGCAGAGGTCGAGCTGGTGTGGACCCGTCCCTTATATTCGGAATCGACTCCAAGCTATTTACAAGCAAAGATGATGCCGGAGAAAAGATTGATAACCATCATGACGAGATTGAGACTGTAACGCTCTGGAAAGGTGATCCATCTCAGGCAGAACACCTACATCGACACGACGAACACTGCAAACATTCCCACAATCCTTCCGAGGCAAATAGAATTGTATCCGAAGGACTAATGGACCGTTCTACTTTGACCGCGGCCTTGGCTTCACTCAAGAAGGACACCATTTATCGAGTCAAGGGGTTCATCAGGATGCAGGAAGGCAACGAAGCCCCTACAATACATATTCTCAACTGGGCTTTTGAAAGGTTTGACCTGAGTCCTGTACACACAGTGGGAGACAAACCGGTACTGGCTGAAGGTATTGACATTCAATTTACCGTGATGGGTGAGAGGGGAGAAGTTCGACGGAAAGTTCAATCGCTCGCAGAAAAACTCGGAGCTAATGTAAATTAACGGTGTAATGATTATCCTGCATACGTTTGTGGTCTCTATCCAGAGATATAGAGTAGGTGATAGCTATCTAAGGTGTGAGTGTTCCCCGATCGGGGATAAAGTCCTGGAGAAAGAGGATTTGAAAGAAAGTGACGAGTAAAGAGTGTGAAAGGGTCGGACCTAAAGCCGCATTCGATGAACGACTGAAGCAGAGCCCTCATTGTCAAGGACTTTCGCCCTGGACATCCCAAGAGAAAGATAGGAGGAGTGAACGATCGACCAGGCACAATGTTCAGAGTGTCCATAGTGGTGAAAGTTGTATGATAAAAGATAATATAATGGATAAATTATGGGTGGACCTCAACGAGCAAAAGGAGTCAGACGAGGAATCTTGAAGCGTTTCTTGCTGCCAGTCTGAGGAGGTGGAGTCACAAGTTTATTTCCACCGGGAGATGGCAGGTTTCCTGCTTGATTCCTTGGCTGCAATGGGAGCCTGTAGCGACGAACAATAGCTGGACCTTTCGACAAAGAGGCTGGAGCAGGATGGGATGTGGTGGAATAATTCTCTTGGGTAAATTGAATAGTACGGAAGAGCTTCTGAGGCTTTGAAGAAGGCAGAGAATATTGATTGTGGAATTCAATGTCGTCTTCTTCAGTGTTGGAATCGATATGCATATCATCATTTGAGAGATCAGTCGCATGTTCTCTTCTTGATGATATAGGGGATGGAAATGGACGACAGCGAGGTGAACGTTTGATATTACCTCGGTGCATTGTGGGTCCCCAAGACGTAGGCTGTACATCCGATTTTATCTCCATCCTGTTGAATAATTCTACCAAAGAAGTTAATGAGAAGCTGACGTCGATGTCCATCAGAATGTCTTGATCTCGATCATAGAACTGAGACAATGGAGGTGGAATTGCTGTAGAGGGCCTCAGCTTGAATAGTACAATTTCAAGCATCACTTACGAGTGTAGATAGGGCGGGTTCCAAGGTATGGTATGGGCAATATTGCATCTCCAGTCTCGCTCAGGTCCACGTTCATCAGCATTCTACTTCGAGGAGGCGTAACGCTGGCCCGGTAGGAAGGTTTACGAGGGTCAGATGAGCTGATAGATTCCAAATACGCTGTTATCATCTCCGGAGTAATAGGATTTGAGCCGACATGAGGGTTCGATGATCGTCGCTTGGATTTCGGGTGCTTCATCCCAAATCGGGTGCGCTTGGGACGAGTACCAGCAACGAAGGAATGCGTCGTTGGTGATTCATCGATATCAGGAGAGTCATCGGATTCTGAGCTTCTCGGATAGGCTACTGAGCAATGATTCCGGCGGATGCTTTTGGCATCGTTCAAAGAGTGGCGGTATTTCATTTAATAATACAATAATGAGAAGCTGGACATAGATTAAAAGATAAGGTAAGCACGTGGGTTTTATGGGCGAAAACTTACAAAGAAATAAAAACGGGGGGAAAGCAAGTGAGTGTTGTTGAGCCACTCCAGGTAACGGTTCCCCAACATAATATTGACTATATACCATCAATCCAATAGTCTGATTTATTTCCATGATTATACCCCAGTGCCTTTAAACCGTGCATCAAAATATTGGATGCAGGTGGAGACCAAAAACTTGCACCATGACTGTAAGTCTGAATCTTTCATTAACTCACTTTTACTGAATCTATTCGCTCTAGCATTTATTACCTCCCAATCTACTAAAACTTTTCGCTCCTCGACCCCCCTTAAACTATCTCCGCCCTATCGACAGGGATCCAAATGTCGTCAACCCCAGAACTATTGGAGGAGTGGGAGCTCTACTAGCACAAATACGAGAGGAAAAAGATGCTGGAATGATTGATCAGGGAAAAGCCGACGACGAAGCTGGTGCTCTCACTGATGAAGATGCCAACTTCACATTGGCAGAGGAGACAAAGCGCGAGATGAGGAGAGAGGATAAGAAGAGAAGAAAAGCAGATGACTTTAAAAATGCGGTGACAAATTGTGAGGATTCCTCCTTGTGTGCTTGCAGGCGCCGAGCTAACCACTCGATCCATTCCACCAGACCGTCCCACCGACAACCAAGAAGCAGTAGGTGACCCGTATAAAACATTATTTATCGCTCGTTTGGTTGGTATCTTTTTCCTTTTCTTCATACGCGCTGGTGTAGAACGGAGCCAGGTCAAACCAGATTGTTTCCTTTTATTCATGCCATGTCGCGTTTACTGACACTTCTTGAAACTATGGTAAAATTGGCGCCGATGTTGACCTTCTATATTCACTTTCCTTACATACAGCCAAAAGCCGCCAAAGAAACCGATCTCCGAAGAGAATTCGAAATGTACGGCCCCATAGATCGCATCAAAATCGTAAAGAACAAAAATGGTAATTCTCGAGGTTATGGATTTATTGTATACGAGCGCGAGCGTGATATGAAGTGTTTGTATCATTTCGTGATGCCAGAGAAGGATGCCGAACTGACGCCGTCCTCTTACAGTAGCTTATAAAGAAGCTGAACACATGGTGGTCCTAGGCAAGCGCGTATTGGTAGACGTTGAACGCGGCAGAACTGTTCGAGGCTGGAAACCACGAAGACTTGGAGGAGGCCTCGGAGGTCGTCCCAAAAAGGAGCCCGACTTCTTGGGTCGAGGCATTGGCGGTGGTGGTGGTGGCATGCGGGGCGGAATGGGTGGTCCCCCTGGCGGACGCGGCTTTGGTGATAGGGGTTTCCGGTAAGAGGGAGTTTCCGGTCCTGCGACTATTTAACTGACTTTTTGTATCAGCGGAGGGTTTGGAGGAAGGGGTGGTGGTGGTGGTGGTGGCTTCCGAGGGGGCTTTGGTGATCGTGGAGGTTTCCGGGGCGATCGTGGTCCTCCAAGGTACTATGCTTCTAACTGGTCGAATTATACAGAGTTTTTTCTGACACGGGTACTTCTAGAAACAACTTCCAAGGCGGCCCTGGTGCAGGACCAGGTATGAACAACGGGTTCGGGCCTCCTCCTTCTCAGGGAGGCTATGGTGGCCCCGGGCCCAACACATACGGCGGACCCCCTGGTGGGGGTGGGGGTTATGGGGGGATGAAGCGAGAATACGAAGGCGGGAGCGACAGCGATGCAAAGCGCCGTCGATTTTAGGCGGACGTTTGTTTGGCAAGTATGACTGGTGGGCACTACATCACTTTTCTATAGTCCCTTGTCCTGGGATCGTCCCTTGCAAGCGCTAAGGACACTCGCATCCACCCGGCGGAGCCACGGCGACGGTGTGTTGGTTGTTCCACGTATACTGCCTCTTCACAGATATGATCCTATTGTGTAAGTATCACCGCTGTCATGAATGGCATGGTAGGTCTGCAGCCTCTGAGCGACTTTCCTCCTTACTGTAAACAAAAGACATAGAGCATATGCTGTTGTTTTGAATCCGATCCACGGTTATTCATGTGCTCGCTGAATAATGCGTGAATTTGTGAGTTACCAACTCGACATAAAAGGTCTGCTAAG